ACGTGGAGGGTTCTCAAAGCAGCGCGTAAGGGAGTGGCTACAGCAGTCGAAACGGGCATTTATGCCCACCTGGACGGATATGTGACTGACCTCGAAGCAATCTACAAAGATCGCGACATGCGAGGACTGTACCAACACCTCAAAAGATCAGTGGGCCTTAGCGGGAGAGAAGCGAGGGGACAGCAGTTCGTCGCGGATGAGAACGGCGTGTTGCTCCGAAACAAGGACGACATCCTCCAGCGGTGGGCGAGATTCTTCAGCACCCTACTCAACACCAAATCCCCCACCCTGAACCCAGACATCATCGAACGAGTGACGCAGCGGCCAGCGACACGTGACACTCAACGGTTGGGAGATGTGCCAGAACTCGAGGAGGTGGCACGGGCAACGAAAGGCCTCAAGAACTGGAAGGCNCAGACATAATCGAACGAGTGACGCAGCGGCCAGCGACACGTGGCACTCAACGGTTGGGCGATGTGCCAGAACTCGAGGAGGTCGAACGGGCAACGAAAGGCCTCAAGAACTNAACGGGCATTTATGCCCACCTGGACGGATATGTGACTGACCTCGAAGCAATCTACAAAGATCGCGACATGCGAGGACTGTACCAACACCTCAAAAGATCAGTGGGCCTTAGCGGGAGAGAAGCGAGGGGACAGCAGTTCGTCGCGGATGAGAACGGCGTGTTGCTCCGAAACAAGGACGACATCCTCCAGCGGTGGGCGAGATTCTTCAGCACCCTACTCAATACCAAATTCCCCAGCATGAACCCAGACATCATCGAACGAGTGACGCAGCGGCCAGCGACAGTGACACTCAACGGTTGGGCGATGTGCCAGAACTCGAGGAGGTCGAACGGGCAACGAAAGGCCTCAAGAACTGGAAGGCACCCGGCCGTGACTCCCTCCCTCCCGAGTTTCGATGACAACGAACCCTTCGTCCTGGGACACCTCCATACCATCCTCGTCAAGGTGTGGAACGGAGGAGATATTCCGCGAAAGTGGAAGGATGCAACCATCAAGGTGGGTGACCGATCCAACTGTAACAACTACAGGGGGATTTCGCTACTATCTCACTTAGGCANCGTGACTCCCTCCCTCCCGAGTTTCGATGACAACGAACCCTTCGTCCTGGGACACCTCCATACCATCCTCGTCAAGGTGTGGAACGGAGGAGATATTCCGCGAAAGTGGAAGGATGCAACCATCAAGGTGGGTGACCGATCCAACTGTAACAACTACAGGGGGATTTCGCTACTATCTCACTTAGGCAAGGCCCCCATCAAGATCATTACCAACCGTCTAAGCGCCTTCTGCGAAGCCAACAACATCCTTCCGGAGGAACAGTGCGGATTTCAACCCGGGTGATCCACCGACGACACGCTGTTCGTCGTGCGCCGCCTCCAGGAGCTGGGGCGGAGAAACAAACTACCGCTCTACATGTGCTTCGTCGACTTGAAGGCGCATGATTCGGTGGACCGAGAGATGCTATGGAAAGTGTTGGCTAGGGCCGGGATTCCCGCGAAGCTGATCGAAGTCGTCCGCCAATTCCACGATGGAATACGGGCCCGGGTGCGCATGGGCGACGGAGAACTATCGGACTGGTTCTTCGTGACACAGGGCGTGTGACAAGGCTTCGTGCTATCCCCACTGCTGTTCAACATCTTCTCCGCCCAGGTCCTCGAGGTCAATGTCATCCGATTCAACGAGGATGATGTTGTTCTGCGGAGCCTGGTGTGCTTGGAGGAGGGGAAGACGGAAGCGGGGGGGGGGGAAGAGACACCCCTTGACCGAGTACGGAGGGCAGTATGGGGGATGCTGTATGCCGATGATGCCGGCGTCGTATCGAGGTCTGCAGAAGGACTGGCGAGAATGATGAACATCATCGTTGAGGTGTTCGGGGAGTTCGGGCTAACGGTGTCGGAGAGGAAGACGGAGAGCTCCTGATGCGCGCGAAGGACAACCGACTACAACATCACAGCCCCCCCCGCCTCTACCGCTGACTATCGAAGCCGCGGGACAGAAATACGCCCAGACGACCGAGTTCCGGTACCTCGGTGGCCTCGTCAACGAACATGGTGACCTCACCCGGGAGATCAACTACGGGAGCAGAGGAGCGTGGGCGTGCCTCTTGCCATATGGCCGGGAGCTCTTCGACAGACCGAAAGCGCCATTCCGACTCAAGATCCGCCTACTCCAGGCGGAGGCGATGGAGGCGCTGCTGTAAGGCTGCATGACAAATGGGGAAAAGAGGACACGAAAGAAATGAACAATATAAGCGTTGCCGGAGCGACGAGAAAGGAGGAACGTCGTCGGAACGACGAAAAACAGGAAGGTCGTCGGAACGGCGAAACAAAAAAGGAAAGTCGTCCGAGCGACGAAAAACAGTAACGTCGTCGGAACGAACGAAAAAACTAACGTCGTCGGAACGAGGAAAAAAAGGAACGTCGTCGGAACGGTGAAAAAAAAAAAGGCCTGTCTCGACAAAACGATAAGATACGCCAAGTAATCACCACGGTAGCGTGGGACAACAACAAAGGTCACGAAAACACCTTCAGCCCGCAAACTCTAAGAAGTAGAGACAAAAACACATCGAAAACGTACAAAAGCACCACAACGTACCATAAAGGCCGGAAACAAAACGTTTCGGAAGCGAAGCAAAGAAGAAAGGGGGGCGTGACACCAAACAACAGCTGGCAAAACCTCGGCAGGGAACAGAGAAAGCTCGACACCCCTCAGCGGCCACTACCAGACGCTGCGGTCGATACACCACCGACTGCTCCTTCGAGTTATCGGGTACAAGCGCAAGAAAGACACCTACCGGCAGCTCTTTTACGCCCAGACGCTGAAGAGGGTCGAATGCCAGAGCGTTGAAGCCACGATCCGACAACGACGCCTACTGCTCGCGGGAGCATTGGCAAGGCAGCCGGACGGGCGACTCCCGAAACGACTGATGCTCGGCGAACTGGCAGGGGGGGAGAAGCGACGTAGGGGGGGACAGGAACAGAACTGGCCGAAGTGTGTGCTCGACGACCTGAAGGCATTCGGGGCCGACCACGGATCTACGAAAATCGATCCATGCTGTCTCGGAATCCTGGTACCGAAAGACACGGCATCGAAGTTAAAGTGGACGGAAGCCGCGAAGGTGGCGGGGGGAGTACCCTGGCATGCGGCGGTGCTGCAGGAAGCTGAGAGGTTCATGACCTCCTGGCACGAGAAAGAAGAGGCCAGCCGACAACGGGCGCTCAAACGAAACCACAAGCCAACAACCAATGGGGCGGGAGAGGGGCAGGAGACGGACGAGACGGCGAGGGAAAAAAGCAGACGAGACGAGACGGACCGAGTGGCGCGATACGTGCTGGATTGGATTTCTTTTAGCCAATTCCTCCCCCCTCCCAACGCTGCACCGTTGCACCAGTCCCCCACTAGTCTAGTGATGACGTACCATAACAATGTATCGCTGGTTGGTGGCCATGTTTTCGTGTTTGCTTGTTCGTTAGTGGTCTCTCCACCGTGTGCCTTTTTCTGTCTCTTATTTCTTGTTTCGGCCTGGTCCCTTTTTGTCCTCGCTCTTTTCCATTTATTTCATCTTCTCTTTCCTTACTCACACGTGTTACTGCCATAGAAAAAAAAAAAGTAGGCCTGAAAGAAGACCAGATACCCAGGGATAAAAAAATACTTTCTGCGTAGCCCCTCTGCGTGCGCCGGGTGTGCTTGTCAGACACTGCTTTTCAGCACCAGCAGTACTCGACGCTCAGGTGGAGGACGGAAGTGAAACTCGGCAACAGGTTCAGGAACGTCACATAGTACATGCGTGAGCCTTTTGATTTGGCAATATTGTCCTTGGGTGGGAGAAACCGAGTCGTTGGCCTGAACCGTCTGGCGGCCTGTTTTACGCACCGTTGTTCCGCCGCTCTGTTTGGCGAACTTTGACGACAAGTTGACCCCCCGTAGAGTTGACCAAATGGACCAGCGCTCGGAGACTGGAGTGATCGATAAGCATAGACCTGATATATCGTTGCTAGAATTTTGGATCTGCGTTGTGAAAGCCGAAACAGAGCTTCGCGCACCGGTGCCTTATTACGCTGCGGAACTTCCTCAACAGACACAGCTGCGGCGTGCGGTCGCGAGTCGGTGCTGCCGCACCGGCCGCGTAAGCTATGAAGTGGTGATGCTGCACTCCTTACCACTTTTCAAAACACACTTGGTTTAGTTTGACCACTATCGGTTTGTGTTCACCGATCCTGAACAGGTTGTATTCCTATGTCGGCAACTGGGACCCGTTGTACCGCATGCCTCAGTGGAGGAGAAGAATCTGCCTTCCGACACATGCGGGCAAGGACCAGCAGCCAAGTCCGGGATTTCGTAGACGAGGTCGGCATCGCAAACCAGTTTCCGGCCTTGAACGAGGGGAACTTAGGCGTGATCACCCTCGTACTGTGCAGACGACCTGCTTGCTTGCTGCAGCTGTACAAAAAGCACGAGCAAAGGGCTAGCAAGGACCGGAGTAAAGACCGGCGAGCGCGCAAGGCAGCTCGGACGCCTCGCCATGCCAAGGGTTGGGTTGGTGCTCCTAATCCTCAAACGCACCTGAAGCGTCGGTGGCTTGATAGGTACTGCACTTCGCCTG